CTTGTATTTGTCTGTTTTAAAACAAATAATATTGTTAATACTTTTGTCCTTTTTATTATTATTCTTAACGTTCCCCTCCCAGGTCCTAGTTTTCATCATTTTTTCTTTTCCCTGTGCCTGGTTGAATTTTTTTTTTTTTTAAGTTTTTTTTTTCCCCCATTTTTTCTTGTGCTTAAGCCTGTTCCTTTATTTTCTTTCTACATTTTTCCCATACTTTTTCTTCATTTATTATTCTTCTTCTCTACTTTTTATTTTCTTAGTGCCCTATCCCCAGATATTGCAGGTTTTCTTGTTTTTTTTTTTTCTTTTTTTTTTCCCCTTTTTCCCTTTTTTGGTTACTGTTCCTGTGTGGTTACATGACATGTTTTTTGTCCATGGGCTTTTAGTTTTTTGATGGTTATTCAATTGTAATTTGTGTCTAATTGACTGGGAGACAACAACAGTCCCCATAAGACACAACTACGTCCATACCTCCTGCAACTTCATTTACTGAGCGAGAGCCACTACCTCCTTCTCCACCAATGGTCAACGACAAAAAACCACCAAGAAGAGCCTGAATCACCTTTGGCTGCTCTTCACAAACAGTTAACAGAGATCTAAATACAACAATGCCATGATGCCTCGCAAACAACAGATCATCACAGTCCACAAAAAGACACAAGATAAAGTGGGAGAAACAAGGGAGCATGAGACAGACCCAGAACACATCCCTGAGGAAGAAGCAGCACTGGAACTCTATGATAAGGAATTCAAAAGAATTGTCGTTAGGTATTTTCAAAGGATTGAGAGACAGACCAAAGAAAACACAGAAGAAACCTTAGAAGAATTTTGGAAAAAAATACAAGAACAAATGACAAAATACACAAAAAATTAGAAATGATTCTAAATCTATAGATGGAAATCCAGTACATTAATATTAAATTGTCAGAAATAGATAACACACTAGAAGAGCAAAGGAGTAGAATTGATGCAATGGAAGACAAAATTAATGAGATTGAAGATAAAAACCTGAATACTTCTTTGGAAAAGGATCAATCAGAAAAAAAATGAAAATAAAATGAAGAAAGCCAAAGGTTCATGTGGGATACCATCAAGAGGAATAATTTATGTGTCATTGGAATTCCAGAACAGGAAGAGAAAAACAAAACCACTGAGAAAATTGTCCAA